AACACAACAATTTCTGTAATGACAAGTGGTCATGACCACCAGTGTGAAGATATGGACAGCTATTGTGATCAGGCAGGGCAGGGCCAGTCCCCGGCTATTAACCCTGAATCCACCACAAACACCACAGCTACTGTAATGACCAGGGGTCATGAAACACCACCAAAGGACCAAACAACTGCGAGTAGTAGCGATAAGACAGGGCAGGGCCTGACTCAGGATGTCATTGAATCTAACACAAACACCACAGTTACCGTAATGATCAGTGGTCATGATCAGACATGGCAGGGTCAGTCCGAGACTATCACTGAATCCCTGGATGCTAGAAATCTATCTTATGGCACTGGGCCGACTGCTTCGCATCTAAATTCTCTGTACACAACAGCTACTGAAATGACCAGTCGTCATGATCAGACAAGGCAGGGTCAGTCAGAGACCATCACTGAATCCAACACAAACACCACAGCTGTAATGACCAGTGGTGAATATCAGATAGATCAGGGCCAGTCTCTATGTCCTACAGTTACAAATCTGTCACTCAACGAAGTGCTAGCTGCCCTACAGGAAAACCCTATGTATGTAGACGTGACAATACCACCAAAGAACACAGCATCTACAGAAACAGCCGGCAGTAGTCATGATCAGACAGGGTAGGGTCAGTCTCATGTTGTCATTGAATCCAAAAACACAACAGTTACTTTAATGGCCTTTAGTGGTCATGGTCAGACACAGCAGGGTCAGTCTCAGCTAGGCTAACGCTGTATCTCCGACAGTTGCAACTCTGTCACTCAACGAAGTGCTAGCTGCCCTACAGCCAAACCCTATGTACGTAGATGTGACAACACCACCAAAGGATATAGCAAACATACAAACACCACAGCTACTGTATTGGGCAATGTATTGAGCCCTAAATTAACAATTCAGAAACTAAGATTTAAAAAATCGCGCTTTGTATAATGCTCCCTGCGTTCGACAACATATGTAATCTGTACATAGTTTCATACATATTATACTGCTACATACATACATACATGTATCTGTGCTATTAACATTACTTCAGCTAAATTTTGTACCTTTCCTTAAACGTTTATTAATAGTGCACAGCTAACATAAATGGGGGTTTCTATCCTAAAACATGGGGAAGGTGTGAGAATCAAGAGCCGCTCTTTTGGGCCGCGCCACTGACCCTGGTCGGGACAATGGATTTAGGAATCACATAGACCGAAGTCGTGTTTTTGAGAGATTTGGTGCTGATGTGGCGGAGCTTTCAGTCGATTGCTGATAAACTCTAGAGAACATATGGTCAGCTGC